TATGTTTTTCCATGTCATTCTATTTGATCCATTCTCTTAAATGCCCAAAACCCCCTAAACAACCCCCTCTTTCCCCCTCTGACAATACTTTTATTAACCCCACACCTTCCCTAATTTCCACACTCCAATTTTCTGCAAAATATTTACCCCCACACATTCCCCTTAAACGACATCTCCACTCCCCCAACCGTCTCCTCGCTGCGCTTTTCCCACCCAAGCTTCCACCCATAAAAAATGTTGGTACTACTATTACTTTCAAAATTCCCTTTTTTGCCTCCATAATAACGTTTTTTGACTCCACATATACCTAAAAAGCACCACTCCCCTTTTTTTCCCCTATAAATTCATGTTTAAACCCTCATCCTTCTAAATCCATCCGCCGACAGTAAAACTCCCAAGTATCTAAAAACATTCATTTTTTCCATATCCTCCTCCCCCAATTTGATATCCAATTTTTTCTTTATCTAAATCATTTGCACCCTCACACCTTACCCCTTTTCTATGTTCATTTTCAACTTTCTACCTTTACACACATTCCCAAACTCATCCACTAACCTTGCAATTTTTCTTTAGATCCCCCATAAGCACAGTTCTCACAAAAATAACTGGTCAATTCCCATTTTGAATTTGTTTCCCCCCAAAATTTAACCCCACCCCTCTCCCAACACCCTAGCATTTACTTCCTTTCAACCCTCTAAAAAAATTTAAAAACCAGGTGACATTACACATCCCTGTCTAAGACCTACTTTTAAGGGGGAATATCTCCCTCTCTTCTACCCCCCCCAAACCTGAGCCCCACTATCCTCAAAAACTCTTTACAGCTTTTAATAACTTCCCCCTACCATATATTTGCAACATCTGCCAATTGCTCCCTAACCCTCTTCATATGCCTTTTCTAAATCCATAAAGCAAAAAAACTCCCCCTATTTTATCTAAATCTTTTCACAATATGCTTAAATGTAAACACTTGATCTACACACCCCTCCCCACTCAAAAAACCTCTTGCTCATCCCCAATCCTACTTTCTTCTTACCTCTAATTCTTTCAATTATAACCCTCCCGTACACTTTTCCGGGTAAAACCCAGTAAGTTATTTCCTCTAAAATTTTTTTACAGCCCTTTTTTTCCCCCTTTTCCCCTTTATATAAAGGGACTTACAGTCTCCCCAACCCTAGTACCCCCCCTCTTTCATACATTTATTAACAAAAGTCCCAAACCACTCCAACACTAATCCCCCCCTGCTTTTAACTTTTCTGTCATGTCCCCTCAGTTCCGGTGCTTTTAAAAAACCCCCCCCCCATTTTTACGTATGCCTCCCCAACCCCCCCACACTACATTCTGCTCTTCTTCTCCCCAAAAGAGGTAACCTCCCGACCGGATGAAATTCCCCCTTTTTTTTTTCCTTTTTTTTTTTTTTTAAAAAATTTTTTTTTTTTTTGGGGTTTTTTAAAAAATTTTTTTGGTTTTTTTTTAAAAAAAAAAATTTTTTTTCCTTAAAATTTTCATTTTCCCTTACTTTTCTCCCCCACCTTTTCCTCCTTTTTTTCCCCCTTTTCTACCCTTTTTTAACCCTTTTTTTTTAAAACCCCCAATTTTTTTCTTAAATTACCCACTTCTTTTTTTTTTTAAAAATTTTCCCTTTTTTCCCTTTTTTTAAAATCCTTTTTTTCACACCCTTTACCACTTACTCCCCTTTTTTTCCCCACCCCCTCCTTCCCCCAAAATTCCCCCCTTCAAACCCCCTTTTTTTCTTTCCCCCTTTCAACCCCCCCTTACTTACTTTGCCAACTTTTCCAAAGTCCTTATACTCCCCGACCCCCCCCCTTTTATCACAAAATAATTTTATATATTTAAATTTTTAAAATTTTTGTTTTTAACCCCCCCAAATATACTTTTCCAAATTTTTTAAAAAAAAAATTTTAAATTTTTGCAATTGGGTTTTCGGGTTTTTTTCTTTCTCAAAAAACCTTTAAAAAAAGTTTTTTTTTTCCTTTGTCAAAAAAAACCCCAAAAACAAATTATATCAACATAGGGTTTTTTTTTTTAAATAAATTTGCTTTTTATTTCTTTATTTCCAAAAAAAAAATTTGAAGCCCGGGGGGAAAACAAAAGCCGGGGGAAGGCTGTAACCCCCGTAAAAAATTTCTAAAAAAAAGGGGGCTTTTAAAATTTTTTTAAATTGGGGGGATTTAAAGCAAAAACGATGTTTTGAAAAGAAAAAAATTTTTATCCCCAAAAAAAAAAAAAAATGAAGGGGGTTGGGGAAGTTTTTTTGGGGGGAAAAAAAAGGGTTAAATTTGGGGAAACTGAAGGGGTAGCAAAAGGAAGGGGGCGTAAATTTTTTTTGAAAAAAGGGGGGGTTTTTGGGTTTAAATTGGGGGTTTAAAAGTAAAGGTTAGGGGGGTGGGCAAAATTTTTCCCCTAAAAAAATCAAAAAAAATTTTGGGAAAAAAATGTATAACCTTTAACCAAAAAATTTTTGGAAACTTTCTTTAAAAAACTTTTAAAAGGGGTTGGTAATTTTTTTTCCCCCTAATTAATCTTTTTTTTCCCCTTTTAAATTTTAAAATTAATGGTAATCTTTTTAAAAAAGGGGGTTTGTAACCAATTTCGAAATTTTTTTTATGTTTATTAGAAAAAACTTTTAAATTCAATTTTCTTTTTATGGGGGCCCCCCTTATAATCACTTGGTTTCTCCCAATGGGGAGTTAAAAAAAAACCCCCAAAAAAAGGGGGGAAGGGAAAAAAAAAAAAGGGGGGGAAAGGGAAATTTTAACAATTTAAAAAAAACCCCAAAAGGGGTCGAAAAATAGGGGGGGGTTTTTTAAAAAAAAATTTTTCAGAATTTTTACCCCTTGGGGGAGGAAAGGGGGGGATTTTGGGGGAAAAGTGAATAAGGGAAAAAGTTTTGGGGGTTTTTAAAAAAAAGGGAATCAAAGGGGGAATAAGGGAAAAAAAGGGGTTAAAAAAAAAAGAAAAAAAAAAAGGGGGGTTAGTTTTCAACAAATTTTTTTTAAAAAAATTTTTTTGGGAGAAACCCTTTTCCAAGAAAAATGGTTTTTTTTAAAAAAAAAATTTTAAAAGGGAAAAAAAAAAATTTTTTTTAAATTTTAAATTTTAAAAAAAATTTTTTTTTTTTTTTGGGGAAAAAAACACTTAAGGGGAAAACCCGTTTGGGGTTGGGGGAAACTAAAAGTTTAAAAAAAGGGGGTGGACCTTATATAAAAAAAATTTTTTAAAAAGGGAAAATTTTTGGGGTTTGGTTTCAAATTTTTTTTTAAAGATAATACCAAATTCAGGGCATTTTAGTTCTTTTAAAACAAAAATAAGGGGGAAAAATTTTTAATTAAGGTTTGGGTTTTTCCTGGTAAAGTTTTTATTGGTTTATTTTAAAAATTTAAGAAAAATTTCAGCAAAGGCTTTAAAAGATGTTACCAGGGTTTTAAATAAAAAAACATTAATAAGGCAAAAAGGGCTTTTTGGGGATTTAGGGTTTTAAAAGGCTTTTTTTTAAAAATTTTGGGGGAAAATTTTTCAAGTTGGGTTGGGGTTTTTAAAAATTTTAAATTTTTTTAAAAAAGGGAAAGGTTGTGGGAAAAAGGGAAATTTTTGTAAAAAAACCAGAAAGGTGTTTTAAAGTGGGGTTTTTAAAAAAAGGGGTTTTAAGGAGTAAATGCGAGGGTTTTGGGGAAGAGGGGGGGATTAAAAAAAAAAAGATTCCCTAGGCCCCCTCTTTTTTTTGGGAAAAGGTTTTTGGGAATTTGAAGAGAATTGAAGAAATTGTGGAGAAGGGGGTGTGAAATGAAAATTGGGAATGGAAAGAGATTTGGGCAAAAGATTGGTGATGAAAAATTGAATTTTAAAGGGGGAGGAATATTTGGGGGGTTTAATTTAATATTTTAGGGGGTTTGGGAGGGGGGAGAAAGTAGGGTTTTAGTTGAGGGGGGGAAAAAAAATTAGGGGTAAGGATTTGGGAAAAAAAAACTTTTTTTGGCAAAGAGGGGAATTATGGAATAAAAATGTTTTTGGGGGTTTTTGTGGGAAGGGGAGGGAAAAAAAAAATTTTATTTACAATTTTGGGGGTTTTTTAAAAAAATTTTTTGAGTTTGAAGTTAGGAGGAGGGCGGGAAAAAATGTTTTTAAGGGGGGAGGGAAGGGGGGAGGGGGGAAACCCGTAGGGAAAGGAAAAGAAACTTCGGTTTATTCCCTTAATCCCTTCATAAATGTTACCTTGCTTACACTCCAGCAGCACGTTGAGACAAGTGGTTTGTTGGTGTAAGCAAGGTAACATTTATGAAGGGATTCAGGGAAACCAGCAGGCCGGACTTGATTCCTGGAGATGGGAAGTACAGTGCTGGTACTCTGAAGAAGGGGTGTTAATGTTGCAGTTTTATAACTGTAGTGTCAGCATGCCTCTTGCAAGACAGTGATGGAATGAATGATGAGAGTTTTTCTTTTTCAGGCCACCCTGCCTTGGTGGGACATTATGAAAGAATGGAGCCAAATAGGATGGATGACTTGGAGGATGTATAAATCTGTAGTGGAGGGAAGTCAAGGTAGGGGACACCCTGGGAAAGATTGGAGGGAGGTGTTAAAGGAGGATTTGTGCACGATTGGCTTGCTCATGCAGCAGGCATGTGTGAGCATGTTAGATAGGAGTGGAGGCAAATAGTTTTTGGGCCTTGACTTACTGTTGAAGTATGAATAAGGTAACATTTTGTGAAGGGATTCAGGGAAACTGGTTAGCTGGACTTCAGTCTTGGAGGTGGGAAGCACAGTGCCTGCACTCTGAAGGAGGGGTGAGGATATTTATAATTTGCAGGGGCATTTGAGCTGCAATATTGGCACACCTCTGGCAGGGCAGTGATGGAATAAATAAATGGTGAAAGTGTTTCTATTTTTGGTCACCCTTTTTTGGTGGGAGATGGCGAGTGTGTTAAAAAAAAAAAAAATTTTTATCTCATCCTATCTCATCCTTGACTTGTGGTCTCTCTCCTCAGAAAGTTTTTGACTACGAGTATGACAGTGATGATGACTGGGAAGAGGAGGAGACAGGGGAGAGTTTAAGTGACTCTGAAGGTGAAGAGAAGGAAGAGGAAGGAGATGGGGACCAGTACGAAGTGGATAATGACTTCTTCGTTCCTCACGGTTACTTATCAGAAGATGAAGGCAGATCAGATGAAGAGGATCCCCAAGATGAAGTGGTGTCCCAGGTGAAAGTATTTTAGTTACATCAGCATTACATGCATCTGCAGCTCTATTTTGTCTTATATTGCATATGAGGATAAATATAATTTTGTTGTTGTATGACTGCATTGTTGAGTTTGCAGTCTTTGAGCTGTAGCTCTGGTTCTTGCATCATAACTTTTGTCTAGCCGCTGTAAAATTGCCCAGTCTTTTCTATTTTTGAATCCTATATAGTCTTCTACTGTCACGGCTTAGTTCATTTCACATGTCAATTACTATTTTGTTTAAATGTTTTCTTGTACCCCTGTGGCTTATTTGAGTGCATAATTTCAAACCATGCCTTCTTGTTTTGTTTCTGCCCTTAAGTACATATTTGGTATATCATGAACATGTCTTGTTTTTGTTCTTTGTTCCACAGTGACATGAGGCCTGTATCTAGCATTCTTTCTTCATAACTTGTACTGGTAACCCAGGCACCAGCCTTGATGTACTCTTGTGTGCTTTCTCAAGTTTTTGCTTTGTTTTTCTAAGCAAGGTTCCATGCTGGTGGTGATGTTCAAGAATACTTCATACAAAGTAATATATGCTTTATTGTAGCATTAAAGTTCCTGAATGGTGCTTGTGTTTGAGAGCTTAGCCTCTTTTGCTAGTGTTGTATTTGTTCTTCATGGAATATTCTTGGAGTTTTTATTTTAGTCTTCTTTCCATATCCCAGTTTCATAACTTAGCTTTTGCTCTGGATAAATTCCAGCAACCAATTATTTGACCATTCACGAAGTCTGGTGGTACTGCAGTTGTCATTATCTTAATTTTGTGTTCTCTTTATTTGGGTATCATCCACAAATAAGAAGCAGTTTCTGTATTTATTTCATTATGATAAACCAGGAAGAGCATGAAGCCCAACACTAATCTCTTACTCCACCAGTCACTGTTCTTTTGATGCTATCATTCCTTGGTATCTGTCTTTCCTGTTGCTAAAGAATTACCACATGTACTATGATCTGTTTTACCCAGACTTTCTTCAATTTCTAGGGTTTAAGAACATTTGAATTGGAAACCTGAGGTAAAATTGTCTATACAGTGATTTGTTCCTCAAATGTAAAATCATATTCTTACATTTCATTACTGAAGGCTTAGAAATAACAAATGTCATTTGAATTGTAATTAATATAGTATAAGCAAGCAGGCCACTTGCAATAGAAGGGTGGTTGATCAGACAAACCAGGCTGTGGGAGTAGGAAAGCTCTTAAAAGGTAAATCATAGGGGTAAAAGTATGTACTTTTGGCTAGACAACTATTGGTGAATGAGTTGCCTGTTTTTTGAAGGGTCACCCTACTATGGTGGGAGACAGCCAGTGTTAAAATATAAATAGTGGACTTGTCAGCAGATGGGTCTTTGAATGACAAAGTGAATCATAGAATTGATGAGGGAGGAAAAGATGAGTGGTGTACTGAGGAGTCTGTGGTGACAAAGAACATTATCCATGGAAGCAAAGAATGGAATGTATGAGAGTATAGTGATACCAATGCTCTTATATGGGTTTGAAGCATGGGTGGTGAATATTACAACAAAGAGAATGCTGGAGGCAGTGGAGATGTCGTGTCTGAAGGCAATGTATGGTGTGAATATAATGGAGAGAATCCGTAGCTTGGAGATTAGAAGGACATACTGAGCTTCTAAAAGTATCATCCGGAGAGCAGAGGAAGGGTTGGTGAGGTGGTTCGGACATATAGAGAGGATGGAACAAAATAGAATGACTTGGAGGGCATATAAATCTGTGGTGGAAGGAAACATTGGAGGGAGGGAATAAAGGTTTTGTATGCAAGGAGCTTAGATTTCAGCAAGCATGCATGAGCATATTAGATAGGAGTGGAAACAAATGGTTTTTATGACTTGACAGGCTGTTGAAGTGTGAGCAAAGTAACATTTATGAAGGGATTCAGGGAAACCGGAAGTACAATGCCAATGCTCTGGAGGGGGGTTGTTACGTTGCAGTTTTTTAACTGTGGTGTAGGCATGCCTCTGGCAACATAGTGGTGGGTTATCCTGCCTCGGTGGAAACGGCTGATGTGTAAATAAAAAATATAATTGGTATAGGAAAATCTGGCTTAAGACTGGGCAGATAATTGAACAACTCTTGAAACCAGTCACAAGTATCTGGTCTTAGTATACATTAAGAAAGAATTTTGCTTAGTATGATTCTACCTGCTGCTTAGTGGGTCCTTCTAATGGCTCACACCAAACAGGCATGTGCCTGCTCAACCCTTCCTTCTAAGAAAAAAAAAAACAGGATTTTTTACTATTTGAATGTGGAAGAAACATGGCTGGCTAAAACAAAAATTTTGTGCATATAAACTCGGTCTTCTATCTCCATATTGCGTGTTATAATCAGTTAATTTAAGGTAACCTGAATAGTGTACATAAAAGACTCTCCAGTAGTTCATAGAGCAAAAACCAATGTTTTGGTTTGTTTAGAGGTTACCTGATACGGTACATAAGTTTATAATAATGTTAGTTAATGTCATAGGAATGTCCAGGCAATACTTTTTTTTTTTTTTTTTTTTTGCTCCCCACCAAGTCAACTGTCTCCCACCAAGGCAGGGTGACCCAAAAAGAAAGAAAATCCCCAAAATTAAAATACTTTCATCATTCAACATTTTCACCTCATTCATGCATAATCACTGTTTTTGCAGAGGCGCCCAGATACTAAAGTTTAGAAGCATACAGTAGGGCCCTGCTTTACGGCGTTCCGCTAATACAGCGATTTCAAATTATGACCAAAATTTGCTATACGGCAAGTGGTCTTTCAAATACGGCGCACCCCACCCAGTTTGTTTACATTCTTCATGAGCACATCTATTATGTCTGGAAACTTTCCAAAATTTCAAGTGTTTTAAAGTTATTGCGTATTTTATATGTACTCTGATAATTATGCTTATGTGTACCTGTATCTAAATATACTTACTGTGCTGGCATGTAGGTACACATTAAAATCACTAAGTCTCTCTACTCATGGTGCCATAGTAATACGTACTATGTAATAATAATCTCTCTTGGGCACATTAAATGTCTTATTTTACGTTAATAAAGAAATTTTCATTAATCCATCTATGATATTTTCTTCAAAATTATGTAAGAAACACAGTTATATAGCATATAAACATTATACATACACCCACACAATAAAAATTGACATAAATATGAGATTTGTTTACAAAGCGGCTTTGTAGGCGTGTCAGAAGAATTACGTTTTCTCTAGTCAAACACTGGGGGATAACTGTAGATAAATATTCCTTTCGTATGCCTTCACTCTATATATAGCAATTCATGTCCCTTGTGGGTTTAGTGCTTCTTTTTATTATGATTATAATAATAACTTGCAATAATAATTTGTAATAATAACTTATAATAATAATTTTTAATAATTTGTCAGGGCATCATTCCTTCTAAAAATTACATGAGAATGGAAGTGTTGGTCTTTATTTATTCTACTGTACCACTGTGGAGACAACTTGTACACAATGTAAGGTGTTTGTATAAATGTTTATGAACCGTAACCAGATGCATCGTCGTTTGTTTATATGGTGGGGTGGCCAGGCTGGCTTCCCTACACTACATAGTGGGGGGGTGGCCAGGCTGGCTTCCCTACACTACATAGTGGATGGGGTGGCCAGGCTGGCTTCCCTACACTACATAGTGGATGGGGTGGCCAGGCTGGCTTCCCTACACTACATAGTGGGTGGGGTGGCCAGGCTGGCTTCCCTACAATACCCTACCTACCACACCATTTTCTACAAATAAATACTTTTCTCCTTTCACCCTACATTAAGACTACAAATATTTTAAGGTAAATAATGAGTGTACTGTATATACACTATCACTATTTAAGCATCGTCATAGTATATTATGTATGGGTGGGAGTGGCCATGAGGGTTACCACACCTAACTTCTTATAGTAAATGCTACTCACCTTTTGACCTACATTAAGACTACGAATATTTTGAGGTAAATATAATGAGTGTACTGTGTGTGTATTTTACTTTTTATTGTTTTTTAATGCCTAAGTTCTATTGCTAACTTAATATATGTTAGTGTAAACTTGCCATCTGGCATTTATGTATGTTTATAAGTGGAAAAATTGGCATTCTGCTTTCCGGCGAAGTCTGCTTTCTGGCAGTAGCCTGGAACCTAACCTGCCGTATAAGTGGGGCCCTACTGTATATAAAAGACATATAACATATCCCACCAAACTGCCAATATCCTAAACCCCTCCTTTAAAGTGCAGGCATTGTACTTCCCATTTCCAGTACTCAAGTCCGGCTATATAAAAATAACCGGTTTCCCTGAATCCCTTCACTAAATATTACCCTGCTCACATTCCAACAGCTCTACAGTTTTTTTTTTTTCCCCAACAAGTCGGCCGTCTCCCACTGAGGCAGGGTGACCCAAAAAAGAAAGAAAATCCCCAAAAAGAAAATACTTTCATCATCATTCAACACTTTCACCACACTCACACATTATCACTGTTTTTGCAGAGGTGCTCAGAATACAACAGTTTAGAAGCATACACATATAAAGATACACAGCATATCCCTCCAAACTGCCAATATCCCAAACCTCTCCTTTAAAGTGCAGGCATTGTACTTCCCATTTCCAGGACTCAAGTCCGACTATATGAAAATAACTGGTTTCCCTGATTTTTTTTTTTTTTTTTTTCCCAACAGGTCGGTCGTCTCCCACCGAGGCAGGGTGACCCAAAAAAGAAAGAAAATCCCCAAAAAGAAAATACTTTCATCATCATTCAACACTTTCACCACACTCACACATTATCACTGCTTTTGCAGAGGTGCTCAGAATCCCTTCACTAAATATTACCCTGCTCACACTCCAACAGATCGTCAGGTCCCAAGTATCATTCGTCTCCATTCACTCCTATCTAACACGCTCACGCACGCTTGCTGGAAGCTCTGCACTTATAATGTATAATTCAATGGAAATGTACTACTCATTCATGCTAGAAATATGGTTTGGTGAATCATCATTGTGTTGTGACATTCTCTTTTTACAAGATGGTTAGCCGAAGAGTAATGAATATATTTTCTGTAGGTTATCCTACCTTGGCATGAAATGCCTCATTTATTAGAAAAATATCTGATAGACTGTTGCAGTGTTTCTCTTTGTATTGTAGAGCAAATACAGTATTACTTCACATTCAGTCTGAAGTTGTGTGAGCATGATTTTATAAGTGATACCAATGATACTATAGAAGTATTTTACTTGGAAAGAGTTTAGGTATGTTAATACTTTCACTAATGAAAGATTTGTGAAGTTGTGAAAATTACATACAGAGCAAATATATAAAATAAATATTGAACACAAGCTAATAAACTGAGTATTAAAATAGAATCTTAAGCATTATTATCTGAAATGCATTCATAGAAATTTTTAATATTATATAGTAGTAGAAATCTCTTATGTTTCATTACAAACTAATATCATTTGTCTTGATGTTGTCCAGGATGATGAGAGCAAGAATAGAGAAAAACTTAAGCAAAAGCAAGCTGAGTTTGAGGAAGAAATGAAACAGAAAACAAAGCAATTAAAACCACGTGTTAGAGGCTGTTTGTGGATGGCAGATAAAAACAACCGAGGTACAGTGTGCTTTTACAGGTTTTTATTTACCCATTAATAGTTAGCAGATAATGTATATATCTACAGCACCACTCGCCTCTTTTTTTCATTTTTAAATTAATGTTTGTTATTACTTGTAATATATATCTTGTGTTTGGTGCTTTTTGCTATTGCTGAACAATAGATCAGTTCCTCTCAAGAGACTTTAAATTTAGTGTGTGTAAGTGCAGACCTTAATATGACACTGCCTATTAATGTTAGGTTCTGTGGTCCCTGGTGATCATTGTTAATGAATAATCAAACTTGTGTGTAAAATTAGGGAACTTTTATGAGGATAAGTTTTGCCAATTAGGGGCTTCATTAGTCTAATGCAGAGACCATAAACAAAGGGTAATATATAGTAGAGCAGTCATGTGTTGGGATGGCAACAATATGATGTAGGTAGTAGGTTGGTAGACAGCAACCACCCAGGGAAGTACTACTGTCCTGCCAGATGACTGTGAAACAAACCTGTAACTGTTTTGCATGATGGTAGGATTGCTGGTGTCTTTTTGTCTCATAAGCATGCTAGATAACAGGGATATCTTGCTGCTCCTACTTACACTTTGGTCACACTTCACAGACACGCACATGCATATATATATATATATATATATATATACATACATTAGGTTTTTCTCCTTTTTCTAAATAGCACTTGTTCTTTATTTCTTCTATTGTCCATGGGGAAGTGGAAAGGAATCTTTCCTCCGTAAGCCATGCGTATCGTATGAGGCGACTAAAATGTCGGGAGAGATGGGCTAGTAACCCCTTCTCCTGTAGACATTTACTAAAAAAGAGAAGAAGAAAAACTTTACAACACTGGGATGCTTGAATGTGCGTGGATGTAGTGCAGATGACAAGAAACAGATGATTGCTGATGTTATGAATGAAAAGAAGTTGGATGTCCTGGCCCTAAGCGAAACAAAGCTGAAGGGGGTAGGGGAGTTTCGGTGGGGGGAAATAAATGGGATTAAATCTGGAGTATCTGAGAGAGTTAGAGCTAAGGAAGGGGTAGCAGTAATGTTGAAGGATCAGTTATGGAAGGAGAAAAGAGAATATGAATGTGTAAATTCAGGATTATGTGGATTAAAGTAAAGGTTGGATGTGAAAAGTGGGTCATAATAAGAGTGTATGCACCTGGGAGAAGAGAGGAATGTAGAGGAGAGAGAAAGATTTTGGGAGATGTTAAGTGAATGTATAGGAACCTTTGAACCAAGTAGGAGAGAGTAAATTGTGGTAGGGGTCCTGAATGCTAAAGTAGGAGAAACTTTTAGAGAGGGTGTGGTAGGTAAGTTTGGGGTGCCAGTGTAAATGATAATGGGAGCCCTTTGATTGAACTTGTATAGAAAGGGGTTTAGTTACAGGTAATACATATTTTAAAGAAAAAGAGGATAAATAAGTATACAAGATATGATGTAGGGCAAAATGACAGTAGTTTGTTGGATTACGTATTGGTAGATAAAAGACTGTTGAGTAGACTTCAGGATGTACATGTTTATAGAGGGGCCACAGATATATCAGATCACTTTTTAGTTGTAGCTACACTGAGAGTAAAAGGTAGATGGATACAAGGAGAATAGAAGCATCAGGGAAGAGAGAGGTGAAGGTTTATAAACTAAAAGAGGAGGCAGTTAGGGTAAGATATCAACAGCTATTGGAGGATAGATGGGCTAATGAGAGCATAGGCAATGGGGTCGAAGAGGTATGGGTTAGGTTTAAAAATGTAGTGTTAGAGTGTTCAGCAGAAGTTGTGGTTACAGAAAAGTGGGTGCAGGAGGGAAAAGGAGTGAATTGGTGGAATGATGATGTAAAGAGAGTAGTAAGGGAAGAAAAAGTTAGCATATGAGAAGTTTTTTTCAAAGTAGAAGTGATGCAAGGAGGGAAGAGTATATGGAGAAAAAGAGAGAGGTTAAGAGGTGGTGAAGCAATGTAAAAAGAGAGCAAATGAGAGAGTGGGTGAGATGTTATCAACAAATTTTGTTGAAAATAAGAAAAAGTTTTGGAGTGAGATTAACAAGTTGAGGAAGCCTAGAGAACAAATGGATTTGTCAGTTAAAAATAGGAGTGGAGAGTTATTAAATGGAGAGTTGAGGGATTGGAAGTGGAAGGAATTTTTTGAGGAATTGTTAAATGTTGATGAAGATAGGGAAGCTGTGATTTCGTGTATAGGGCAAGGAGGAATAACATCTTGTAGGAGTGAGGAAGAGCCAGTTGTGAGTTGGGGAAGTTCTGAGGCAGTAGGTAAAATGAAAAGGGGTAAGGCAGGGGGAATTGAGGGGATAAAGATAGAAATGTTAAAAGCAGGTGGGGATATGTTTTGGAGTGGTTGGTTTGCAATTATTTAATAAATGTATGGAAGGGGTAAGGTACCTAGGGATTGGCAGAGGCATGCAAGTTCCTTTGTATAAAGGCAAAGGGGACAAAAGAGAGTGCAAAAATTATCGGGGAAAAGTCTGTTGAGTATATTTGGGTAAAGTGTATGGTAGTTATTTTTGAAAGAATTAAGAGTAAGACGGAGAATAGATAGCAGATGAACAAGGAGGCTTTAATAAAGGTAGGGGGTGTGTGGGCCAGGTGTTTACAGTGAAAAAATATAGTGAACAGTTTTAGATAAGGCTAAAGAGGTTTTTGTGGCATTTATGGATTTGGAAAAGGCGTATGACAAGGTGGATAGGGGGCCAATGTTGCAGGTGTATGGTGTAGGAGGTAGGTTACTGAAAGCAGTGAAGAGTTTTTATGAGGATAGTGGGCTCAAGTTAGAGTATGTAGGAAAGAGGGAGATTATTTCCAGTTAAAAGTAGGCTTAGACAAGGATATGTGATGTCACCGTGGTTGTTTAATATATTTATAGATGGGGTTGTAAGAGAAGTAAATGCGAGGGTCTTGGCAAGAGGCGTGGAGTTAAAAGATTAAGAATCGCACGTAAAGTGGAAATTGTCACAGTTGCTCTTTACTGACGAAAACTGTGCTCTTGGGAGATTCTGAAGAGAAAATTGCAGAGGTTGGTGGATGAATTTGGAAGGGTGTGCAAAAGAAGAAAATTAAAAGTGAATACAGGAAAGAGTAAGGTTATGAGGATAACAAAAAGATTAGGTGATGAAAGATTGGATATCAGATTGGAGGGAGAGAGTATGGAGGAGGTGAATGCATTCAGATATTTGGGAGTGGACATGTCAGCGGATGGGTCTATGAAAGATGAGGTGAATCATAGAATTGATGAGGTGAAAAGGGTGAGCGGTGCACTTGGGAGTCTATGGAGACAAAGAACTTTGTCCTTGGAGGCTAAGAGGGGAATGTATGAGAGTATAGTTTTACCAATGCTCTTATATGGGTGTGAAGTATGGGTGATGAATGTTGCATCGAGGAGAAGGCTGGAGGCAGTGGAGATGTCATGTCTGAGGGCAATGTGTGGCGTGAATATAATGCAGAGAATTCGTAGTTTTGAAGTTAGGAGGAGGTGCGGGATTACCAAAACTGTTGTCCAGAGGGCTGAGGAAGGGTTGTTGAGGTGGTTCAGACATGTAGAGAGAATGGAGCAAAACAGAATGACTTCAAGAGTGTATCAGTCTGTAGTGGAAGGAAGGGGGGGTAGGTGGTCGGCCTAGGAAAGGTTGGAGGGAGGGGGTAAAGGAGGTTTTGTGTGCGAGGGGCTTGGACTTCCAGCAGGCATGCGTGAGCGTGTTTGATAGGAGTGAATGGAGACAAATGGTTTTTTATACTTGACGTGCTGTTGGAGTGTGAGCAAAGTAACATTTATGAAGGGGTTCAGGGAAACTGGCAGGCCGGACTTGAGTCCTGGAGATGGGAAGTACAGTGCCTGCACTCTGAAGGAGGGGTGTTAATGTTGCAGTTTAGAAAACTGTAGTGTCAAGCACCCTTCTGGCAAGACAGTGATGGAGTGAATGATGGTGAAAGTTTTTCTTTTTCGGGCCACCCTGCCTTGGTGGGAATTGGCCAGTGTGATTATAAAAAAAAAATAATTTTTATGTTCTGATAATTAGAATTTATAAAAGTTTTTGTGATTTCATAGTAAATCTTTGTTCTGACACTAATATTATGTACTGAAATAGTACTCAAATTGTAACAGTCAAACTGACAGGTGAACATTTTCACCTGGCCTGTGCATTTGCTATTGTCTAGAAATATATACAAAGTATTTATAGGTCCCAGCAATGTTTTAGAGACACTGGAGTATGATACTCCTTGAATGGTGTTATGACAAAGGTCAGATAAGTGACATTTGATGAATGTTCGCTGCTGGAGGGAACCTTGCCTTTATATGTTTTTACTTTTGCACACAAACTTGTCTTTGTATGTCTGTCTGTCAGTCTGTCTGCCTATCTGTACATCTATCTGTTTATCTGTACATCTATCTGTCTGTCTGTGTCCAGTTCAGCATTTCTGTCTTTCTGTCTTCTGTTTGTGCCTGGAGTATAATATGAACTCCTTGAATAATAATGTTATGACAGGCATCAGATAACAAGTGACATTTGATGAATGTGCGCTGCTGGAGGGGGAACCTTGCCTTTATATGTTTTTACTCTTGCACACAAACATGTCTCTGTATGTCTGTGTCTATCTGTGCATCTATCTGTATATCTATACATTCTCTCTCTCTCTCTCTCTCTCTCTCTCTCTCTCTCTCTCTCGCTCTCGCTCTCTCTCGCTCTCTCTCGCGCTCTCTCGCTCTGCTTATCAGTCTGTCTAGTTCTGCTTATCTGTCTTTCTGTCTGCCTGTGTATGTTTTTCTTTCCATCTGCTTGTCTCTCTCAGGGAGTGGCTAGTAAACCTGTTGGTTTGTGGTGTATGGGCTGCTCCCTGATTGCTGAGCAAGTGACACTACTATTATTTGCATCATGTTTATTTATGTCATTTCTACAAACACTGTATAGCACTTGGCCTGGAATTTTTGGGTTATTCTAGGTAGTTTACATTATGTATACTAATTGTATTTATGAGTATATGTGAGAGACAGAGA